CTTAAAAATGACAACTCAGTATATCTATCCTATTTTCACATATAACAGAACTACAATGGAAGAAAATGTTTTGAATGCATACACTTATTTTGTAAAAAATCATTCAGAAACTGAAAACCAAGAACCAAGAGCATAAAGAAACCCTTGTCAAAAAGAAGTTTCTTTACCCCACTGCTACACCCCACTACTCACTGTTGAGAACATATTCTCTAGGGACAGGGGGCTGAACTCGGTTGCTGAGGATCAGACATAGACCCTAGCTTGAACTTGGGAGAAAAATAATAATATTTCAAATCCTCTCTTTGATATTGGTTCTGATACTTATCAGACCATAGGCAAGTCATTTCACCTCTGTCTGAGTCTTAATTTCCTCATCTATGAAATGCGGAAGATACTTGTACTATCAAATTTCAGATGGTCGTTGAAAGGAAGTGATTTTTAAACTTATGCAAATATAAGTCATCACAATTATTATTTATTCCATCTGTGTTCTGGTATAGTACAGGACCGTACTACAGACCTACATGCATAGCCAGGGAGAAATAAGTATGCCACAAAAGCTGCTTTTCACAAAGAGCACAGTAGCCATTGTCATATTGAAGAAATGAAGAGGGAAAAAATAGGCCAAAGTCCCTGGGGATTTACATGGCAAGTTTCTCTCATGCTTTCTCATATGATGCATGTCACCAGAAGTGTACCAGTTTGACATTCATACACAAGCACTGATCAATGCATTGATATCGAGTAAATACTCTCCCCTTTCTAATTCATGTCAATGGAACTCCTTCAATTCGCTTTCATTGTATGGACTCTACTGTATCCTCTACCCAACATGCCCATTGTTTTAAAAAAGCCACACACACAACACAACAAAACCTTAAGGATACAGGCTCAAAAATATCTAATGGAATTTGAAGAAGAAAGGTAATCTCAGTAATTTAATGTGCATGGATAAAGCTACATTTGCCCTACTCAGAATGATAAAGAAATTCTCAGTGCCAAGAAGGTAATAGATTGAAATTAGACACCTCCTGATGGTATTGATTGAACAAGTTTTCATTGCTCTCTACATTTGGTAGCTGCTTTGGAAGTACCCAGAGTTTATTCCTAGAGAAGTACTAGGGGGTGGAGGGCAATTGAGGAAAGAATGAGGCCCAAATGACCATAAATGATCACAGGGAAGTAAATGAGATACTTTCATAACTCCCTGCCAGGTAAGGCAGGTCTTTCACCTCTTCGTGTTGAATTCAGGAAACCTTAGAAATTTTTTCATACAGACATCATGTTTCCTCCCTTACCACCTTAGGCTTAAAAGGGCAGGGACAGAGATTTTCCTAGATAGTGTAAGTTTGAAGCAAGATTGAGAGTAGTCAGAGGAACATGAACATGACAGTATATCCTGAGAGGTGAAGTCTCATGTCATTAGCCCATTCTTCATCATCATGTCAAAGCTCACTATTTCCACTGTATAGACTGAGAAGTGGAGGGGAAGAAAGATTAAATGAAGGGCTGCAGTTCACTCGGGAAGTGCTGGAAGGAAAGTTGCTGGGCCCTTTGTCCTGCCATTTCTTCTCACCTTTGCTTTGATATGAAGCCAAATGAATTACTCTTTCTTCTTCCCTATCTCCATAATCTATCTTCAATCCTCTATAACCCTTTCCCATTCAGTGAAGTGCACCACGAGGTAAGTTTGCAGATTCAGTGATAACCCAGAGGCCTCACAAACAAATTCGAAATTGGAACAGCCAAGCTGAAGGATCCTTGCTTTCAGTAATCAAAACTGTACAATCTTTGGGAAATTTACAGGTGCATTAGCTACTCAGTAAATGCTGGCTGAGTTGAATTAAATGAAATCAGTTCACTCAGAGGGAAGGTGCTGAGAATGGTAGGACTTACAAAGGATTGGTTTTTGGGTACCAAATAGACACAAAAAAGAGTTCCATTACATGCTTCTGCTTTAAACCCAGGAAGGATTTTGACTGTAATCAATCTGGGTTTTCTTAATTCTAAGAAATATAGTTTATCTATCATTTTCTCTGAATGACATGAAAATGCAAAAAAAAATATTTGCTAACTGACTGAAGGACTTGGTTGGTAAAATACTTCAAAAATGGGTCCCACTGACAATCCTCAGAACAGGGCATAATTAGATCCCAGATTCATCAATTGTCAATATGGAATGTCTTCAGATAAGAACATAAACCTTTTCATGATGTGCTGCCTCTTAATTGTATAATTAAATACCTCTAATTGCTTATCTGGCACCTGGCATGTGGAGGTATATTCAATTAGAGCCTCGAGTTCAAGATGGAGTCTACATCTATAATTGCTCTCCTCAAGAAGATGCCAGCTGGGTCAAGCTGCTGAATGAAACCTGAAAGCTCCTCCTCACTGGGCTCAGATATACAATTGATTAGAGAAGATGAGAACAAGTGAAATCTGAGATGACAGGCAGGAACCCTTGTCACTAACATGTTCCATTTCCCATTCATCTGTTTTCTATTGACTCTAAGTAGAGATGAAATGATGAATTAGAATTCATGTCAGGGAGCAGTATGCATATTGAGAGGCAAATGTTATCTCTCAGGATTTTACTCTCTAGGCTAACATCCTCTTTTTCATTATGCCAGTAAAAGGAATATTTATCTCGATTATCAATTGGATGGCTAATGTAGACTCTTTGTCTGATGAAGTGGTTGAAGAAATTCCATATTCCATTTCCTTGTTAGAACCACACAGTATCAGAGCTAGAAGGCACCTTAGAGATCCAGTCCACTTATTCTCACTTCAGAGGCACTGTACTTCAGTAAAAGGGATGCTGGACCAGGAATCAGGAGAGACTTGGCTTTGAATATTACCTTGAGCATTTACTAGTTGTGTGACCCTAAGTAAGTCCCTTCTCTGAGCTTCAGTTTCCTTATCCATAATATGGGACTAGTAACACCAGCAGTACTTACCTTACTGGGTTACGGTGAGGATCAAATCATGTTAAATTCATTGTTAAACTTTAAAGGATCATATAAATGTGAGCTAATATTATTATATTTTACAGAAGGAGAAACTGAGGCCCAGGGAAATTACACAAATGAAAGAGAAAGCTAGTATATAAAACACAACACACCTACCCCTTGTAATCAAGAGTTCTACCTTCTTTCTTATAAAAAAAAAACAAGCAACAAAAATTCTTATGGAGACAAACAAAAAGTATAATTCACCAACTAACAAATCCCTCAACAAACCACTCATTTAGGTGCTAGGTGCATTTAGACATTGTAATAGATAATGGGAATGAAACAAAATGAAACAATCCATACTTCTCAAGAAACTTACGTTGTATTGGAAATATCTAGTAGAGGTACTAACGAGCTAACTGGCAGAATGTTGGAAGAAGTAAAAGAGAATATCCATAACTTCATAATGGTGACCTGGATAATTAAGTATTGAGTGAGTTTTAGGGAAAATTTACTTTGAGAAGTGATGTCATTTAATGCAAAAGATAATTTGGAGGTCTGAGCAATACTTTGTTTTGTGAAAGAATCCCCATAAGATTTCTCTTAGTAGCAGGCTTTAACAAATTTCTTTACCCAAATTCAGTTCCTACTCAGATTTTTAAAAGAACATAGTCTTTTGTGTAAAGAGAGGTTCCCATGTACTGTTTTCAGATGTGAATTCCATTGCAGTAAATGCTAGTTTCTTACTGTGATCTGTCCTTTGTGTCCAGGCTTTCAGCTTGACAATTTAGACCATTTCCTTTCACATCATGCTGACAAGCAATAATTCCTTTTAGAAAGATGTGACACTTTAGAGCTCTAAAGGCCACGCCTGGGGGAGATTGAACATCATGTTGAATTTTTCAGACCATCACATAAGGCCTGTCAGATATGACCCTACTGTGACCAGTGAAATTGGGCTAATGAGCTTTTCATCTTTTCTTGTGTTTTTTTTTTCCCTTTCTTTTCTTTTCTTTTCTTTCTCCTACAATCCTAGAGTCTCTAACTTCATTTAAAAACTCAGATCATGGGCCATCTCCTACAATAAGGTCTTCCTTCCCTCTCTCTCTCTCTCTGTCTGTCTCTCTCTGTCTCTGTCTCTCTCTCTGTCTCTCTCTCTGTCTCTCTGTCTCTCTCTGTCTCTGTCTCTATCTCTGTCTCTCTCTCTCTCATCTCACAGTAAAGTAAGTGCCTCGAGGACAGGAACTATTTTGGATTTTGTCTTTATATCTTCAACACCTAGCACAGTGCTTTGCACATTGTAGGTAAAATAAATGCTTGACAGATTGAACTGCATTCTAGAGTGCATTTCCTACACAGCTAGACCTGAAGCCAAGAAGAGACTTCAATAGTTCCCTGTTTGGCATGTGTGCTCATCTAGGTCAAGAACTGATGCATAGCATACCCCAAAATATCTTAATAGGAAATTCCCAGACAAGCCATGGTGACACATGCATATTGGAACACCACTTACATGTGAGAGAATGAGAGGAAGCTGATATGTGTCCATGGATATGAGAAGAGTATCAACTCTGGGCTATACATCAATTCTAAGGCACTGGCTAACACAGGCTGACATTTTGTTAATGGCATGCTGAAGGTTGTGCATAAGTCCCTTCTGCTTTAGCCAATGACAATGTCATCTGTGCTTCAATGCATATAGATATTATTAAGCGCTCACCTCATAGGTGAGTATCAAATGAAATAATGTGTCAAAAGTGCTTTGTAAGCCTTATAGTGCTATATAAAGGTTAGCTATCATCTTCATCAGCAGCAGCAGAAGCAGCAGCTATGATAAAGGCACTGGCTATGGATAAACAGTATGGATATAACTGCTTTAATGCCACTGGTATCAGGGGATAAGGTTAATTAATACTATCTAGAAAGGTCTTAGAGGACGGTGATTAGACCAGTGATGCCTTTGAATTGAATGTGTGTAATAATGAGGCACATTATTAATCAAGGTTTCCTTCATTCACTTCCCATTAGCTCTTAGAAGAGGATTGTTACCTGATATCTTGTGGGCTTACTGAATGTGTTCTTCACAGTAAGATTATCAGGATTCCCCATGTTGGTTTGGTAGCGAGATTTCTGAAATGATAAACAGATTGGGACTTGGACAGCACCCAGGTGGACCAAATTCCCTAAAAGAGCAATACATCAGGGGTATCATATCAGGATATCTGAAACCAGGTCTATATATCCTTGACAAGGAAAGAACATTGAGGCCAACGTTGGAGCTACAGGGCACTGGAATCATTCACACCACAACAGAGTCAAAATACTAATTGTTCAACTAACACAATAGCTAGGGAGAAAGTAAAATTTTGAGCAATTCTCAAAGCAAGAGAGTCTTTTAAACCAATGAAAAAAAATTAAGTCCATAGACTATGAGGCTGCATCTGTCTACTGGACATACACCATTCCGTATATTTTTGTAACTTTTGCTAGTAATCCATTTTCACATTTTGCCTGTTAGAGCAAGACTTTCATGCTAAAGACCCAATGAATTGGGTTTGTAGTTTCCAAACGAGGGTATATTTCTTTTACTCTATTCTGGGCACACACCATGACATGCCATAGATGAAAGAATCCACCCAATTCTGATTTTGCAATGGTAATTTCCAAACTATTTAGATTTTAAATACTACTATTGTTTTTTCAGTTTTGTGAAGCTTATGTAGAGGAAGATCCCAGGTAGAAACGGTTTGCAAACTTCCTGTGCATAGTAAATGCAAGGGATGAAGTTAGGTAGATGGGTTCACTTATACGTGTGACCTTCAATCCATCTGCCCTGTCTGTAGTTTGCTATGTGAAGGTCTATCTATACATGTTCCCTACATGTGTGCAATGTTCTGGTTTACATATATATATATTTCTAGGAGAGTATGCCGCTACTTAGGGGGGAAATATTTTATTACTATTTTCCTTACTATACTATTTCATTACTTGTCTTTGATTTGAATTGATTGGGTCTTCTGGTTGACTAGAAGGTAAACACTTTGTTGGTAGCTTATGAGTTATGGTTATGAATGACAATGGAGATGAGTACCTCCTGGTATTATGCTTTACAATGTTGAAAATCACTCATAAGAGGACATATATTTATTTTTGAATTGAAAGTAAAATAATTTTTTTTTTTTGCTTTGAGAATTTCATGATACCTCTCAGACAATTTGTAGCACCCTTAGACATGCCTGACCCTTTCCATATAGGGATGCACACATATGCATACTCATATATACAAACATATATGCACACACATATACATACACACATAGTGTACTCTAGCTATACTAAACATAGTAGACCACCATACCACATGGTGCCATTGGAAACCTTCCTCTGACCTCTAATATCTCCTCTACTGGCCTGTCACAATGCCTGAAATTCTTGACATTGTAGTCCTTCTCTGTGTCTCCAGAAGGTAGGGAGGAAAGCAAGTCTGAGAGGAATAGCAATATGTGGCATCTTGGGAAATCAGGGCACCAAGAGGGCTGGGGGAGTCCAAACATGAGCAAAAAGAGATGTGACAGGCTGTCAGAGATACGCTTCTGTGACTTTAAAGTTTCACCAGATCCCCAGCCTGATAGTGTAATACTGTAAACCTTTTCTCACTCTCCTCAAATATTCCTCACATTCCTACCTTTTTAACCAGAGTTGATTTGGATTAGGGACTGACACAATGCTGAGGAAAATAGGAACAGGTCCTTTTGTCTCTTACAGGCTTAAGTTCTCATTATCCATTTTCTATCATATCAATATCAAAAGCAAAAACACAAGCACAAACACACAAAAAACAATCCCCCAACCCACTAATCACCAAAATGAGGTCACCACCTACCCTCAGCTTAGAATTCAGCATGCCCATCTCAAGGTCATTTTCACAGCTTTTGGCCTTGGATTTGCAGAGTTTTATGAGGCACATTTTGATTCTCATTATGAGATAGTAAAATGATTTAGGACTTGGCACTAGGTTAAAAGGAGCAGGTAGAGTCCGACCTTCATCAAAATAAGATAACCAAAGCTTAGCTCGGGCAAACTTCCATTCTACATCTGCGTCCTCCTGTGAGAGAATTAGGGAAAAAAAGGCCCCATCATCAACAACAAATACTTAATATTTTCACTCCTACTAAATTTTGAAAGTGTTTATTGTTTGGATGGGAAAGATATTTTGTCATAGCAGAAAAACTTTTAGATCAGGAGTCAGGAGACCTGGGTTGCTTTTGCTCTGCCACTAACCAGGTATATGACCTTGGGCTTCTCCCTGGGCACCAGGTTCCTCATCTGCCAAATGAAAGATTTGGACTAAACAATCACTGAGGTCATTTCTAATTCAGACTTTTTCCTCTTTTGCATTATAATTAAATGCAATATTGGGCACCCACCAATAACTAGAAGTAGAGACATTGTCCTTAACATTTAACATTTGTCTAACATAGCTCAGATAGATAGTTACCTCATTATTTAAAAAAAAAGAATAAAAAACAACTTTCTTTTTTTTTTTTTTTTGGCTAGGCAATGGGGTTAAGTGACCTGCCCGGGGTCACACAGCTAATAAGTGTTATGTGTCTGAGGCCGGATTTGAACTCAGGTCCTCCTGAATCCAGGGCCAGTGCTCTATCCACTGCACCACCTAGCTGCCCCCAAAAATCAACTTTCAATGACAAAATCTGACCCTCTTTGCTAGACATTCTAAATCAAGGACCATATATTAGTATGGAAAGAGACTAACAGGGTCAGAGGACTTAGGTTCTATTGTTTGGGTTTTTGTTTTTCTCACTTAATAATATTTTCTTTTTTCCCCAATTACATGTAAAGATAGTTTTCAACATTCATTTTTGAATGATTTTGAGTTCCAAATTTTTCATTTCTCCTTTCCTCCCCCCCCAGCCCCAAGACAACAAGCAAGTTGATATGGGCTATACATGTACAATCATGTTAAACATATTTCCACATTAGTCATGTTGTGAAAGAGAAATCAGAACAAAAGGGAAAGAAATAAGAAAGAAAGAAACAACCTCTACCAAAAAAAGTGAAAATAGTATGTTTCAATCTGCATCCAGACTCCATAGTTCTTTGATTATGGAGAGCATTTTCCAGTATGAGTCTTTTGGAATTATCTTGGATCATTGTATTGCTGAGAAGAGCTAAGTCTATCATAGTTGATCATCATACAATGTTGCTGTTATGTGTACAATACTGTCCTGGTTCTCACTTCATTCAGCATCAGTTCATGGAAGTCTTTTCAGGTTTTTTTCCTGAAGTCTGCCTGTTCATAATTTCTTATAGCAAAATAGTGTTCGATTCCATTCATACACCATAACTTGTTCAGCCATTCCCCAATTGATGGGCATTCCCTCAATTTCCAATTCTTTGCCACCACAAAAAGAGCTGCTATAAATATTTTTGTCCATATGGGTACTTTTCCCTTTTTTAGTGATCTCTTTGGGATACAGATCTAGTAGTGGTATTGCTGGATCAAAGGGTATGTAGGCTCAGTTTTGTAGCCCTTTAGGCATAGCTTCAAATTTCTCTCCAGAATGGTTAGATCAGTTCACAACTCCACCAACAATGCAGTGGTGTTCCAATTTTCCCATATCTTCTCCAACATTTATCATTTTCCTATTTTGTCATGTTAGCCAATCTGATAGGTGTGAGGGGTTACCTCAGAATTATTTTAATTTGCATTTCTCTAGTCAATAGTGATTTAGAACATTTTTTAATATGACTATAGATGGCTTCAATTTTTTCTTCTGAAAACTGCCTGTTCATATCCTTTGACTGTTTATCAGTTAGGGAATGACTTGTATTCTTATAAATTTGATTCACTTCTCTATATATTTGAGAAATCAGGCCTTTATAAGAAACGCTGCCCATAAAAATTGTTTCCCAACTTTTCTTCTTTTCTTCTAATCTTGGTTGCATTGGTTTTGTTTTGGAAAAAAAAACTTTTTAAATTTAATGTAATCAAAATTATCCCTTTTGCATTTCATGATGTTTTCTATCTCTTGCTTGGTCATACATTTTTCCCTTCTCCATAGGTCTCATAGGTAAACTATTTATTGCTATCCTAATTTGCTTATGGTATCACCCTTTAGGTGTAAATCATGTACCCATTTCTTGGTATAGGGTATGAGATATTGGTTTCTGCCATACTACTTTCCATTTTTCCCATCAATTTATGAGAAATAGTGAGTTCTTATTCCATAAGCTGGAGTCCTTGGGTTTATCAAACAGTAGATTACTATATCATTTCTTACTGTGTCTTGTGTACCTAACCTATTCCACTGATCCACCACTCTATTTCTTAGTGAGTACCAAACAGTTTTGATGATTACTGCTTTATAATATAGTTTTAGATTTGGTTTGGCAAGGCCACTTTCCTTTAATTTTTTTCCTATTAATTCCTTTGATATTCTTGACCTTTTTTTCTTCCAGATGAATTTTATCATTATTTTTTCTAGCTCTATAAAATGATTTTTGGTAATTTGATTGTTATGGCACTGAATAAGTAAATTAATTTAGTTAGAATTGTCATTTTTGTTATATTAGCCCAGCCTATCCATGAACAATTGATATTTTTTCAATGGTTTAGATGTGATTTTATTTGTGTGAAAAGTGTTTTGTAATTGTGTTCATATAGTTCCTGGGTTTGTCTTGGCAGGTAGACTCACAAATATTTTATATTGTCTACAGTAACTGTAAATGAAATTTCTCTTTCTGTCTCTTGCTACTGGACTTTGTTGGTAATATATAGAAATGCTGATGATTTATGTGTGCTTATTTTATATCCTGCAACTTTGCTAAATTTGTTAATTGTTTCAAGTAGTTTTTTAGTTGATTCTCTAGGATTCTCTAAGTATACCATCATATCATCTGGAAAGAGTTATAGTTTTATTTTCTCATTGCCTATTCTAATTCCTTCAATTTCTTTTTCTTCTTTTGTTGCTAAAGCTGGCATGTCTAGTACAGTATTGAATAATAGTGATAATAATGGGCATCCTTGTTTCACCACTGGTCTTATTGTTTTGTGCAGCTGTTTTCAGAGATACTTCTAGGGACCTGTAAGTTTTTAGTTCTTCCAAGGTGGTATGATCTAAGAAGAGGTGTTTATTCCTCTCCTGGCCTGTGCTGTGGTCTATGAGTGACCACAAGCACTCTTTTCTGCCCTGGAACTGTGAAGAGGGTTTCCTTCTCCACTGCTGCCACAAGCTCTGCTATGTCAGTGCTCATCCTGGCCCCAGGACGGAGACCCAGATCCAAGTATGGGCAAAGCAACAGAATCCTGCCTCAGAGAGAGGCCTGGACCACTTTACAGATTACAGAGACCCCTGTAATCTTCTGATCAGTTGTTTGATCCCCTTATCATCTGTGGGCTGAGAACCTTGAAAGCAGCCACTGTCATCACTGCTGCCCCAGGGCTGTTCTAGAGTCAAGGCTGGAATTCTCTCCTCTCTCCCAGGTCTGACAGACCTTCCCTACTGACCTTCTAAGTTGTCTTTGTCATTTATGGGTTGAGAAATCTGGAAACTACCATGGCTGCCTGCAATTCAGTCCCCTGAGGCTTGCTTTGTCTGTGTTGGTGAGCTTTTGCTGGACTATGGTCCTCTTCTAGCCTGGTACAACAGACCTTTCCTGTCAACCTTCCAGGTAGTCTTGGGCTGGAAATTTGTTTCACTCTGTCTTTTTGTGGGTTCTGATGCTTTAGAATTTGTTTAGAGTCAATTTTTTTAGAGGTATTTGGAGGGATTTGAGGAAGAACTCAAGAAAGTCCTTATTTTTACTCCACCATCTTGGCTCTGGCCTGCCAAAGGCCTCTATGATACCTTTTTAACAAGATGTAAGGTTTGAAAGTTCCCTATTTCATTGAATGTCTATTTCCCCCCTTGAAAGATTATGCTCAGTTTTGCTGGATAATTGACTCATGGTTGTAATCCAAGCTCCTTTGCTTCCAGAATATCATACTTCAAGCCCTTCAGTCCTTTAATGTAGAAGCTGCTAAGTCCTGTGTAAATAGGACTCTGGCTCTTTCATATTTGAATTATTTCTTTCTGGCTACTTGCAATATTTTCTCTTTGATCTGATAATTTGGGAATTTGGCTACAATATTCTTTGGAGATTTCATTTTGGGATCTCTTTCAGGAAGAGATTGGTCATTCTTTCAATTATTATTTTACTCCCTGGTTCTAGGATATCAGGGCAGTTTTCCTTGATGATGTCTTCAAAGATGGTATTCAGGCTCTGTTTTTGATCATGGTTTTCAGGTAGTCCAGTAATTCTTAAATTATCTCTCCTGCATCTATTTTCTGGATCAGTTGTTTTTCCAATAAGGTATTTTACATTTTCTTCTACTTTTTCATTCTTTTGATTTTGTTTGACTGATTCTTGATGTCTCATAGAGTCATTAGCTTCCTCTTGCCCAATTCTAATTTTTAAGGAATTTTTTCTTCAATTCACTTTTGTACCTCCTTTTCCATTTGTCCAGTTTTTTCTTCAGTGGATTTTTTTCCCATTTCACCAAGTCTAGTTTTTAAGGAGTTGTTTTCTTCAGTCAACTCTTGTTCTTCCCTTTCTAGCTGTTGACTCTTTTTTTCATAATTCTCCTACATAACCCTCATTTCTTTTTCCAATTTTCTTCTATCTCTCTTTCTTGATTTTTAAAATCCTTTTTGAGCTCTTCCAAGAGGAAGTTTCTGGGCTTGAGACCAATTCATATTCCCCTTTGAGGCTTCACATGTAGGCATTTTGACATTGTTGTCCTTTTCTGAGTTTGTGTTTTGATCTTCCCTGTCACCATAGGAGCTTTCTATGGTCATGGTTCTTTTTGTTTTTTTGCTCATTTTAAAAAATTGAGTTCTTCTTTTGGGGCACAGGGGCCACTATTCTAAGTTTCTTGTGCTGGGGGCTAGGGTCCTGGTTCCTTGCTTTCCATGCCAGGCCTCAGGTGCTTATGGCTTGCCCTCTGCTCTGGAGTATCCTAGCTTAGTCATGCCTAAGGCTCTAGGGCTGGCAATTTGCCTTCTGTGCTGGTTCTGGAGGCCTCACAGCTGGTCTGACATGCCA